GCAAGAGAGGGAACACAAGCAGGGGGAGTGGGAGAGGGAGAAGCAGGCTTCCTGCTGAGCAGGGAGCCCGATGTGGGGCTCGATCCCAGGACCCTGGGACCACGACCTGAGCCGAAGGCAGACGCTTAACGACTGAGCCACCCAGGCGCCCCGTTCTAATCATTTCTAATTGTACTTTTGTTGCAATGATGTCATTCCGTCTGCGTTTTAGTATTCTGGACTGCCTCACACCATCTGTGAGAGACAGGTGGGGGATAAAGAAAGAGTAGTAGGGGCGCCTGGGTGACTCAAAGGGTTAAGCATCTGCCTTCGGCTCAGGTCATGGTCCCAGGGTCCTGGGATTGAGTCCTGAGCCGGACTCCCTGCTCTTCCTCTGTCCCTCCTGCTGCTCGCTCTCTCTGTCGCTGTCTGTCTCTCTCTCAGATAAATAAATAAAATCTTAAAAAAAGAAAAAGAAAAAGAGGAGCGGCAAATTCCAGTTAACTTGTGCCATTCCTGAACTCTCAGATTCTAAACCCAGCTTGACCAACTGGCTCACTGGGTGTCCTTGGGCAAGTCACTTTAGAGACCTGTCATTGTTGGGAGGTGGGCACTCTTGTGTTCTCTGCTCTCACTCTGACCCCATCGGGCCTCCCCCGATGCAGGAAAGAGACACCGAGTTCAGGGTGTGCTGCCCATGGCCGCTGGCTGCAGATGCCCTGGTCTGGTGGGCCCGAGGTCAGGCTCTCCCCGGCTCGGCGAGGGGCCGCCGCCCACCCCATGCAGGGCTGCAGTGAGGACAGTCCTCGCCCTGTTGTCCTGTTGCAGACCGAGGCCTGTGCCCCTAGCCGGAAGGCTTCTGTGACTCGTTCGGGACTCCGACAGAATGGCCAGGGTCCTCGTCCGCGCCCAGGTGCCTGGACCCCCCCTAGCTGGTAGGCGTTCCTATTCTCTCCCAGACCCTCTTCGCTCCTGCAGGCTGTAGTTTTGTTTGTGAAGTCGGGAGCACCGACCCTCCTCGGGAGCACCTCGGAGCAGATGCTCTTCTCAACTGAAGGCCTGAGTGGAAACTTGGAACGGAAACTGTGAGCGCTTTTGTTCTCTGAGTCTCTCCTGGCTTTCCTGTGCAGCCAGCCCATGCCCTCAGAGAGACTGTTTTGCATGTGGTTGTTAAACTTTGATTCCGTGACTCATGCTGGGGCGAAGGCTTCACGTATGCCTCCCTCATTTGATTGCTTTCTTCTTTTTCCTTTTTTTTTTTTTTAAAGCTCAAAGCAAAACTACCTTGGCAGCTGACCGTGACTCTGGCTTCCAGGAAGGGGAGCTTTGGCATGAAGTGCCTCCTAATGGCTGTGTGGCCCGGGCCGGCTGCGCTGCCCCAGCTTGGGTGACACCTGGCTAACCAGGAGGACAGCTGGGGGTGCGGGGAGGAACACTGGTACCTACCGTGGGGGCTGGAGCAACGCACCCTCCTGGTGAGTGCCTGCTCCCCCCACCCCATCAGTCAGTGTGACAGGCCCCTTGCAGACTCGGGTCCAGGGGTGGAGGAGAGAGACTGAACACAGGGGACAGGGGGCAGGTTGGAGGGCAGTTCTTGGATTAGCGTTATTCTGAACAATTTGATTTCCCATGCCTTACATGATGTTAAGTATGCAGATAAAAAAAATAAGGTGAAATCCTTGCTCATTTTAGCACAATTATATTTAATTTCAAGAGGCCTTCCGTGGGAGAAAGATTAATTAGAGGAACTCTTCAGTTTAAGTAAAAACTCCTGCTGCGATCTTTGAAGATATTTTAATTTTATGAAGTCAGAAGGTCTAGAACTCTCAGGCACATTTTCAACCTGTCTCCAGGCTCTTGAAAGCATCTCTTAGACTAGATACTGATTTGCAGGTGTCTAGTTTCTGGGCAGATCAGGAATATTTGGGAGCAGGCCCAAGCCCCATCTCCCCCTAAAGGCTGGCTCTGCGGGCTTCGAGAAGGCCCATGAGGACATGGAAATAAGTCTTAACCGCCGGCAGTGAAGACAATTTTGGCTAATGCCCTGTGACCCTCTGCCATGCCTCTAGGATTCTGAAGTCCTCTCCAAAGCCAGGTGATGCTAGCCCAGGAGCTCCGATACCTGGCACGTGAATAGGTTGGGTGTGGAAGATAGTTGAGGGTGGTTTCTGAAAAACTTTGTTTGAGTTGCCTGGGGTATGGATCAGGGCTTGTGCGTATATACTTGTGTCTCTATATCCAAAGTAACCTATAGCAGACAGAAGAACAAGGGACAAGTTCAAGGAGAAAACAAAGGCCAGGCCACCCCTGCTCACAGCCGCACTATTGACACTGGCCAAAAGGTGGCAACACCCCAAGGATCCATACGCAGGTGAATGGATAAACACAAGGTGGTCTCAATACACGATGGAAAATCATTCAGCCTTAAAAAGGAAGAAAATTCTGACATATGCTTGCAACAGAGTGAACCTTGAAAACATTATGCTGAGCAAAATAAGCCAGGTAGAGAAGGACAAATACTGTATGATTACACTTCTAGAAGGTACCTGGAGTCATCAAAGTCATAGAGATGGAAAGTAGCAGTGTGGTTATGAGGGGCAGGTGGGGGAGAGAGGGTGGGGAGTTAGTGTCTAATGGGGACAGGGTTTCAGTCTTACGAGATGAGAAAGTTCTGGAAATGGATGGTGGTGATGGTTGCTTAATGCCACCGAGCTGTCCTCTTAAAAATAGTTCCTATGGTAAATTTTATGTTATGTATAATTTACCACAACTTTTTAAAAATTATAATGCCCTTTAAAAATCCCCCAAAAGCCATGCCCAAAACACAAATCTTGTGGGCTGAAGTTTTTGCCTCTCTGTGACTTCCCCAAAATCTAACTGGCAACTCCACTGATCCGAGCTGAACCAGAACACTGCGTGGACTATGTTCACAAGAGCTCTCTCCTCATCATGCCGGTGACTTCTGGCTGTCATCATGTGCTGGACTGCTGTGGGGCTGGCAGAGGTGAACAGGAACGTGATTTGAGGGTCAGGGGCGTCCGGGGGCCGATGCGTGGGCTCGCCTTGCTCCGTGGCCCCCTGAGCCCCCCGGGCAGCACCCTCTGGGCCAGGTGGCAGCAGGAGTCACCACCCTCGGGAGTCTAGGCCGTCCCATTTATTAGCTGCGGGACCCTGGGTAAGTTGGCAAAACCTCTCTTTTCTTTAGTGTTCTTACTTGCAACATGAGTCATGAGGTAAGCTTTTTCCGTCTCCCACAGAGTCCGGGATCTCCAAAGATAATAGGCAAGGTGACACCCTCTCACCATAAAACACCGGGTACCTGTGACCTGCTGGCTCTCTACTTGCCTTATCTAACGCCCCCACCTTTTGTCCTTCTTCAGTTACTCTTGTATTCTCTTCCTCAGGGGCTCTTCCAGTCAGACGTCAACCTGGATTGGCTGATTCTGGAAGAACAGGTCTGCTCCGATTCCCATCATTAGAAAGTTCTCCCTCTCGCCCCTCCCTCTTCCTCCTCTCCTGCTCTTTGGTGAGGCCACCTCCAACGCTGGATTCCACCTGAGCGCATCTCCACGGCAGCCTTGGCCGCCCACCGTCAGGGAGCGTTGGGAGGCCGACCTCTGCGAGCAGAGCACCTGAGGAGACCGAGGATTTTCGCAGTGTTACTAATTAATCATCTGGGCTGTTTGTGACTTCCAGTCAAGCTTAAGGAAGAAAACAGAAGTGAAATTGCTCATACTTTCAGGACTTAAAAATAGAAAAGAGAGAGAAGCTGCTGGTGGGGTTGCTGCTCCAGGGGAGGGAGGTGGCCTGAGGGCCCGGGGAGGCTCCTGAGGACAGACCCCTCGCCCCCAGCTCAGGTTTCTTATTTAGAAGTTTTAAAAGGAAATGAAGTTGATTTTAAAGTCTCAAGGGCGCAAAAGAAAGCCTCTGAAATAGGTGGATTCTTTCAGTTAGTGTTGTGTGAAAACAGCTCTCCTGTCCCATGCATAACCTTTCAAAAGTCTCCTCAGAAAAGGAGCTCTTTTGGGGCGCCTGGCTGGCTCAGTTGGTGGAGCGTGCAACTCTTGATTTCGGGGTTGTGAGTTCGAGCCCCATGTTGGGTGTAGAGACTACTTCCAAAAAATAAAATCTTAAAAAAAAAATAAAAGAAAGAAAAGGAGCCCTTTTGGAACCTGTGGGTGCTGTGGAGAGCTGCCGGGGATGGGGCCTCGCGTGGCCGCTCTCATTCCCTCACCTCAGGTAAAAGCCCCAGGTCCCAGCCCCAGGTCTTTTCATTGTGAAAATGTTTATGATGCTGTCAGACCAGACCACAAAGTTATAAAACAAGCATGGACTCTCCTTGCAGCTGTTACTTTGTGACCAAAGAGAAGCCACCCAGCCCAGCTGTATTTTGGTTTTTCCATCTCTGTAGTAACAAGACCTTACCTCCATCTTGAACACAACTCAAAGCGACACATTACTTTTGGCATCTACGTATGGTCAGTCTCTGCCCCTGACCATATCACCTGGACCCTGTGCCATTCGGAGCCTCAGATTCTTCACCTGTGAAAGGGAAGGCTGTTATCTCTAGTCTCCCTCCTCCCCTCCCATCCCCAGGCACGATGGGAAGTTCAAGGAAGAGTCTCCACTCAGGCGATGTGGAAACACTGAAGAGCTCCATGAACACAGACTGCTGTGTTCATGTTGCCTGTCCCAACCTTTCTTCTTTTTCCCCCTCTCTCACTTTCGTTCCCTCTCTCTTTTCTTTCTCCCACCCCTCCTCTCTCTTCCAAATCAAAATAAGTGCCACCTGCACGCCTAGGCAGGGAGGGGTGGAGGTGGGGGTGGAGCTGGGCTAGCAGGATTGGGAAGGACAGGAGTGACAGCGGGGTCAGGCCTGGGGCAGGAAGGGGCAGGCCTCCAGGCAGAGGGAGGAAGAGCCCGAATGAAACCCATGGGTCTTTCAGGGACAGTGAGCAATGCCTGGTGTGGGGCTGGCCTGCCAGGCTGGGTGAGGATCCTCTTCCTCCACGGAGACCAGACCAAAGCTGGACCCCAGTCTGAGAGAACAACTGTCCCGAGAGGAAGGACTGGTCACCGGTCAAGGAGCAGAAGGTGAAGCTGGACTGGAAGAACATGGCTGAGGGGGCTGGGGAGTGGGCCGGGCCTGGTGGAGAGGGCCTTAACTCTCCTGCTCAAGAGTTGTGACATTTACTCTGTACAGGACAGAGGGACAGAAATCTTGGTCCGTGGACTAGCTAGATTAGTGTTGTGGTGGGTGGCAGTGTGGTGAGGAGTCCCCCCCAGGGCCCCCCGGGAGAGATGCCACAGCTCTTCCCCAACTGGGAAAAGCCAGCTTGTCCTTCGTTGTCCAGTCACATGAGGGTCTTTCTGGACTTTCCTTTCCCCTCAAAAGAAGATAAGTTATTCCTCACCTGAGTTTTGAAAGCACATTTTTTTTTCTATTTGAAAGTATTGTGCTTATTGTCATGATTTATGGCTTGTTATTTACATTTTTGGTCTGTTTTCCTGAATAGGTTGGGAACAAATTGAAATTGGGCTGTATATTAGTTTATGGAACTGGGTCCCAGCACAGTGCCTGGTGCCTAGTAGGTGGTCAGGAAGTGTTTATTACATGAATGAATGAATGAATGATGGATGAATGGATGAATGAATGAATGAACTAGGGTCCTGTTGTGTAAGGCAGAGGGGGTGCTTGTGGAACATGTGCAGGAAGTAGAAATTGTCCAGTTGAGTGTAGAAGTGAGGCAAAGGGAAGAGTGAGAGGTGACCTTGAGATTTTTTCTTGGAGCCTGGGGACTCCGTTCAATGAGATGGGAGCCCAAGAAAAAGTATTTGAGGAGGGAAGATTATTTTCAGCTTTGGGCATCGATTGAAGAAAACTCTGTTGAACTTCCCAATATACTAGCACTGTGCCAGGTGCTGGTGATTTTGAGGCAAATAGGTGGGAATGTAGTTCACAGTTTCTTGAGATCTAGATGAATGACAAATCAGTGCGTTCTAACAGAGGTGTGAGCAAAGTGCCTGGTAGATGGATGACCAAGCCACTCATTCTGTTCGCGGACTCAGGGGTGACCACTTTGAGTAGCACTTGAGCTAAATCTTGAAGTTTGCTGAACCAAAAAGAGCATTCCAGGTAGAGAGGAAAGCATATGCAGAAGCACAGTGATGAGAACCTTCTGGAATGCTTGGGGGGCGGGGGTGGGGGTTGGGGGCAGATATAGCAGGGCTCAAGAGAAAGGGCCAGGTGGGCCAGTGGTGGGCGAGGAGGTGGACCAGGGTCAGCACTGCATGGTGGTGGCTCAGCAGACTGCTCAGGAATTTGGTGTCTTTCTTGTCGTCGACACGGGGTCTGAGGATGTTTCTAAGAAAGGGCGTGATATGGTCAGACTTGTTCTAGAAATATACTGCTGGCTACAAACAGGGGCTGGGCCGGATGGGGTTGCGAAGGGAGGCCCGTAGGGGGCTGTGACAGTGAATTAGGTATGGGATGAAGAAGGTGTGGGGGCGTGGTGTAGGGGGCAGGTGGGCAGATGGGGGTGAGAGAGCCCAGGCTAAAGGAGGGAAAGACCCTGCACCTCTGTCCTGGGGCCTTGGGTGGCATGTCTATGCGTCACCTCCATGGAACCATCTTCTTGGAAATACCTACTGGAAAGCTCTGGATTTAAGAAGAAACTTTCGGTTTCAGAACTCCTTTTCACTTTTAAAAATTATTAGGGATGCAAGAGAGCTTTTGTTTATGTGGGGTTATATCCATCCATTGATATGTACCTTATGAGAAACTAAAATTAGGAAATTAAACAATATTCCTTTACCTTAAATAATAATAAACCATTACATTTATATGAATGATGCATTTTTATGAAAAATAACTGTTTTCCCAAACCAGAAAATTTGTAAGGAGACTGGCACTGATTTACATTGTGCAAATCTCTACTATGTGGCTTAACAGAAGACGGCCGGCTTTGCCTATGGGCCTCGGCATGGGCTCTCCCCGAGTTTCCACGGGCCACACTTTGAGAACCACTGAAGTAGATTCAGCAAATGTTTGGCGAGTTACCAGTATCCTGAGCTCCCCCCGCCCCTGGCACTTTATTCAAATAGCATGCATACCATTTACCTTACAGATTTATAACTGGGGGTGCCTGGTGCTTAGGGAGGTCTCAGCTAGAAGTGCAACTGTGGACCCCCGGGTGTAGGGGCAGGTGGGGAGCATGATGGGGAGAGCAGACGGCCTGGGCAGGACCCCATTGTCAAACACATGAGCAGAGACTAAGGAAAGAACTGGAAAGACTTAGAAACTCAGGCCAAGTTGTACGGCCTCAGGGAGAAGAGTTTCAAGAGGAGGTGGTCCAAAATGTTTTCCAAATGTTTTATTTAAAATGACACGCGAGGGTGTGGTCCCCGGCGTTGAGAGCTGCAGAGAGTTTGGATAAGGCACGTGAAGCTGCTGTTGGATCCGGCAGTGAGGAGGTCCCTGGTGAGCTTGCGGGGGGCAAGAGTGGGGGCGACACGCAGAAGAGCAGCCAGGCCGCTCTGTCCAGGTTGCAAAAGCCCTTGTCCTGCCAGAGCCGTCGGGGTCATTCTACTGGGGCTCCAGCCTCAGGGCAGTGGCCCTGCAGAGAATGGGGAGCCCCGCTGAGAACCTGGTAGGAAGGCGCGGTTGCTGCCAAGGATGTGGGCAGGAGACCAGGAAGGGGAGGTCGCGCACACCTGTCCTGCGGGGAAGACGGCGGGTGACAGGATGGATGTGCGCGGGTGTTCCTTGAGCCTGATCTGTAATAGGGAGAAGGGGAAGGCAAGCTACACTTCCATCATGTGGCGTGGAGAGTCTGCTGGGCCAGGTGCTGTCCTAAATGCTGGGGATACAGGGAGCAGCAGAACAGAAGAACTGGCATGGAAAGATTTCCCAGATGCAGTTTTAATAAGAAAAGCAAGTTGCTACACAACCATATAGTATGATACTGTTTATGTAAAAACAAGCCCGCTAAGACAATATGTGTGGATCCATTCGATACGCAAGTCAGGACATCGGAAAAGCACAAGAAGGATACAAACAAATAGCAGGAGAGGCAAGTGGGATGTGGGGTTTGTACGAAGAGACATTTTATATTTTTATTCTTTATACTTTAGCATTGTTTCATTTTTTTCACAGTAAATATACTTTCATGATTTTTTTTTTTTTAAAGATTTTATTTATTTGAGACAGAGAGAATGAGAGACAGAGAGCATGAGAGGGAGGAGGGTCAGAGGGAGAAGCAGACTCCCTGCCGAGCAGGGAGCCCGATGCGGGACTCGATCCTGGGACTCCAGGATCATGACCTGAGCCGAAGGCAGTCGCTTAACCAACTGAGCCACCCAGGCGCCCCTCATGATTCTTTTTTTTAAGATTTATTTATTTTAGAGAGAGCGTGCACGCAAGTGGGGGGAGGGGCAGAGGGAGAGAGAGGGGGAAGCGGACTCCCCACTGAGTGCAGAGCTGGGCTCCCTCGCAGGACCCTGAGATCATGACCTGAGCCCAAACCAAGAGTGGGGTGCTTAACTGACTGAGCCACCACATCCCCAAATCTCCTCTTCTTATAAGGACACTAGTCATATCGGACCAGGGATCACCCTAATGACCTCATTTTAACTTAATCAACTCTTTAAAGACCCTATGTACAAACGTAGTCACAATCTGAGGTGCTGGGAGATAGGGCTTTAGCATATGAATTTGGGAGGTGGCATTCCGCGCATGACAGAGCCTCAGGAACATTCCTCTGGCCTGTGCACAAATGTTCCAAGCGCTGGGTGGTCTGCTCAGCTGCCCTCCGTGCCTCCGGCCAGTGGATCCTTGCGGGGGCCCCTGTGTGGGGTGAAGGCCTCAGAAAGTGCACTAGTAAAAGCAGCATGATTGTATCTGTGGCTCCCCAACCACACTGAGCAACTGAAAATCCCCAAGGGGACTAGGCAACATGATTTCCTGACAGATAAGGCGGGGAGGGAGCGTGCATAATTTGCCCTCAGTAACCCGACAGCCTCCAGGCCCGGCAGCTCAGAAAACACCTGATGGAGGCTTTTTCTCTTTAGCTCATGCCACCGTGGCTCTGCCAAAAGGAAACCAGGGGCCAGACCCTCGCCGGGGGCCCAGCTGGCGCGGCATGGAGCGCTCAAGCAAGATGGAGTTCTTCCAGAAGCTGGGCTATAGCCCGGAGGATGTGGTCAGGGTGCTGGGCAAAATGGGTGAGGGCGCCCTGGTCAATGACGTGCTGCAGGAGCTGATCCAGACCGGCAGCCGCCCGGGGGCCCATGAGGGCAGCGCGGCGCCCCTGCTCATCCCCAGGGGCTCCTGCGCCACCCCAGACTCTGCCCTGCGCAGGCCGGCGGCAGAGCTGGAAGAGGATTGCGGAGACCCAGCCAGTTCCTTGCGACCCATAGTGATCGACGGCAGCAACGTGGCAATGAGGTACTTTGCTTCATCCTGTAGCCTTGGGGTGGGAGAACTGTCCCCCTTTTCAGTGGTTTCGTCCAAAGAGTTTTGGGGCTAATGGATGGGCCTTTGAATCCCCGTTCCATCCCCTTGGTAGCTGTGTGGCCTTACGTAAGTCACTTAACCTCTCTGAACCTCACTTTTTCCATCTGTAATGTGGGTATAAAGCCTCCCTAGAAAGTAGTCGTAAGACTTGGAGCTGCACCAAATACCTAGGAGGGTGCCTGACGAAGAGTAAGTGTTCAACAAGTGGTTCCTACTATCATGCCAACCCAGAGAGAGGCTCCCTTCTGAGGAGGGCAGTAGGGAACTGGGGAGGAGCCTAGCGTTGGGCCTTGGCAGATTGTGGCTTCTCGTCTCGAGTCTCCCATCTCCAGTTTCTTCTGTGGACACAGGCTACTAAGAGCTCTGCTACTTCCCTCGAGGTAACGAGAATCAGATGGGGAAAGGTGCTTGAACAGGAAGCTCTCTCCTGGGGGAGGAGACCTGCTGCTCCAGGGTGGCAGGTGGCGCTGTGGTTCCCCAGCTGGTCTGAGACGCGCCCGGTGGCCCCTGAGCTGCAGACACGGTGGTGGATATTCGTGTCTGGGCATCTTGGTGTGTTTCGGCGATGAGAGCCTGACGCCTGCGTGGCTAAAATCAGCTTGCAGACACTCTCACCGTCTCAGCCACGCTCCACGCGGGGCAAGCAGGGGGTTGTATTCATACAAGTGCAGTTCTGTGCTACGTGCCTTAGTTACAGGTGGGCAAAAGGGCAGATCCCTAGGAAATCAGTCCCTCATAGCTGTGAACAGAGGACTTCCCCTTTCAAAAGCCGAGCCACTGGCTGGAACTGAGAAAAGCTGTGTTACCCGCAGAGCTGAACGTGTCAGGAGGGCGTCTGTCCTTTGGCTGACAGGTCCAGTGGCCTTCCTTGGGGGGATTGGGAAGGCTCACTTTGGGCTTGGCACTGCAGGACAGAAGTGTGGAATGGTCCCACCCAGAATGGCCCAGCCCTGGGTGCTGTTCCTAGGTGTCCCGCTTCGTGTGTCCTGAGAGTGTTGGCTCAAGTTTGAGCCAGCCGGGTCACCCTGGGCTGGTCCTGGGGTCTCTATAACATCCGCACACATGCTCCCGTGTAAGTACCTGATAGACCAGCCTATGAAATCCTGCTTAACTTGAGGTATCAGGGGGAGTTGAAAGGACTTTTAAGAATTTTTAAGGTTCTGAGTGTCCTAGAAAGTCTGAGGATTGTGAGGGGGACCTGGCCTCTGTCTGATCAGGATGAGTCACCTCTCCTTCTGGACATCCATAGAGAGAAGGTTTTAAAGGTAAAAGGGTATTGCTTAAACTGAAGACCTTTCCAGCCCTAAGATTATACCAGCTCTGTGATTCCAGACTGAAAGAATGGCTGTGGGCTAGAAGGACTATGTCAGGTGCTACAGGAAAGCGTGGGCAGGCTCTTGTGGGGGACCAGGCAGTTTTTAGAAATTATTTTGATAGGGTGGTTTTGGAGGATTTTCTGTTGATGAAAATCTCTGTTGCTACTTGGAATTCAAACTTAAACTGCATCTTCCCCTTGTGTGTGACCACGATGTGTCCCAGGTAAATCCATTTATTCCCACCCCCACCACCCACAGTTGTCATCCGTTTAACCCCTTCACTCTCCATCTGTGTGGGTGACAAATGGAAGCCATCACTCAGGCTTGTTATAAAGAGTGTGTCAGAACACTAATGCTTTCCCACGCTTGCTGCCTAAAAATCATCTCAGTCAACAAAGCACACTTGTGTCTGCGTGAGGTCTCAGCGTGTGGACATCTGTGTGCGTGCACACACGTGTCTGTATGCACACAAACATCCCATTCCTTTCCCCTGCCCCCTGCGTCTCTAGTTAGGAAAAAAAGACACATTGCACAGCCACCAGCTGGTGGGTGGGACTTGGTTTGCTCAGAGGCAAGTCTGGGAGACAGCTGGGGTCTGAGGTCCTGCCCCATCCCCCGCTCCTTCTCCTGCAACAGTGTCCTCCCACTGTGTCTTCCAGCCAGAGCTCCCACACGACCCGTGACCCTCAGGCTCCTCCAGGTCCCAGCTGCGAAGGACAGGTTTCAGGGTGGGGCTCACCCTTTAGAGGCAATGGGTAGTTTGAAACCCAACATGGTGTCTAGTTATGATCTGTTGACCTCAAAACTCAGTTAACCTCAGAAACGTGGTTTCTGAAAATTCTCCTTTCCTGAGGTTTTGTAGCATCACAGTCGTGGCCATTCTCTGCTTTTGAAGAGGATATGGCTTCATCTGCTGTCTGGCCCTGGAAGAAGTGGGGAAAGACTGAAAAGGCAGATTGGGACACATGTCCTTGCTGCCCTGAGGGGCTGCCAAGGGTCCCAAGCTCTCAGTCCTGACCTCTAGCTGAGAGCTGCCCAATAAAACTCCCTTCGATGATGATGGACAGTTCTATACCTGCACTGTCCATTACGATGGCCACTGGACGCATGGGGCTGCTAAGCACTTGGAATGTAGCTGTTGTGACCAAGGAGCTGAATTCTAAATTTTCTTTCTTTTGAATTAATTTGAATTTAAGTGTAAATAGCCACATGTGGTGAGTGCCTATGTACTGGACTGTACAGATCTAGCTTTTCAGCTGTGTGACCTCGGAGTGAGTCACCTGACGTTTTTGAGCCCTGTTTATACAATTAAGAGGTGGGATGAAATAATAATAATAATTTTAAATGGCTTTTCATCTGTAACATTCTAGGATTCAAGGTGATTATTTTATGCATGCATGAAAGAGATAAATGCATTCTTCTTTTTTTTTTTTGGTAAAGATTTTATTTATTTATTTGAGAGAGAGAATGAGAGACAGAGAGCACGAGAGGGAAGCGGGTCAGAGGGAGAAGGAGACCCCCCGCTGAGCAGGGAGCCCCATGCGGGACTCGATCCCGGGACTCCAGGATCATGACCTGAGCCGAAGGCAGTCACTTAACCAACTGAGCCACCCAGGTGCCCCAAATGCATTCTTCTTATAAAGGAATTTCTCTTCTTCTGCCGAGGTTCAGAGAGGGTAGGTAACTTGCCCAAGGTCACAGAGCAGTAAGTGGCAGGCTCGGCTTTCAGAGCTCTTTCCAAAGAGCGGTGCATCTTTGGCTTTCTCTCTGTCCAGCCTTCGAAAGCGTCTCAGGCTGGGAGACTGGCCCCACGGACTTCTGCTCTGGAGCCAGAGGCTGCCTGTGCTGCCCAGAGCCCTTCCCCAGCAGGATGAGCCCCGACTTGCCTGCTGCAGACAGGTTGCGCTGCCCCCCCCCCCGCCCCCCATCAGGGGGCAGGTGCTCTCTGCAGGACCGGTGCCCAGGACGCCTCTCCTGCTGCGGCCAGCCTGTTGGGACCGTGTGCCGAGGGCAGCGCTTGGGCACTGACCCGGGGCCCCGGTGCAGCCGTGCAGACACTGATTTCCCAGCACAGTCTCCCCTCGTCCGCGGGGCAGGGCGGCGCTGCGCCTGTGCGCATGCGCACGTGGTCCGGCCCGGAGCGCCAAGGCGGGGAGCTCCGTACTCCAGGGCTCTGCCCTTGACCCCGGGGAAAGCGTCCAGCAGGCTTGAAGCAGAAGGCGGCTTTCGTGGCCGGCGTGTTAAGAGCTGCATGGGGCGTTGGGAGGAGCACGGCTTCTCACGGGCCGACTGCTGCCCGCTCTGCTTGCCAGGCCGGCTCTCGCGTGCCCCCTGGGTTGTGCATTCTGCGGGCAAGTGTAGGAAAAGAGAGATGTGAAGGACTTCAGCTTGGGGGAAAACCAGCTGATAATTTCACATCCTCTTGCTGCCCCAGACAAGGGTTTCATGTAAATGGGCCCTCATTTTGGTGTGCACCAGGCTTTTTGTTTGGGTTCTCATGTACATTTTTAAACTCTTAGGAACTTCAACAGAATCTGGCTTATTCTGGAGTCACAAATCTTCGGTGAGGAGGGCTCGGGCCTGCAAGGGGGTGGGGAGGTCATCAGCCCCCTCTCAGTGGGTTACTAGGGGAGGCTGCACACCCGGGCTGAGGTCACACCTGCTTCTGAGCCCCTGAGTTGCCTCTGACCCATGCTGGCGAGGTCTGCACCCGTTTCTCCTTCTCTGAGATGAAGGTTCCCCGTCTCTCAGAGGCCACCCTCTCTCTTCCCCCTGACCTCAGCTGGGGAGAGGTCTTTGGGTGCAAAGGCTATAAACTGCAGGTCCCAGGGGTTTGCAGTTTAACCCCAAGTCAGAAACGGAGTGGCAAGAGTGGCGTGCCTTCACATGTCATGCTCTGAAGGGACCACCACTTCTCTTTTCCTTCCCTCCCACCCCACAACCGCCACCTCAGGCTCCGTGGGACTGTTCCGTGAGCCGCTGACTTCAGCAGAACCTCCTGGGCAAGAGTCCACGATACAGTGAGGAGCCCCGAGGTGGGCTACTTCCTACACAAGGCTGCCGGACTGTGGCTGCCCACCTGGCCCGCAGACAAAGTTTGCCTTGGGCACCAACCCACTTCCCCTCACCACCCTCCCTTTATTCAAAACCTCCCTCCTCTGTCTCCTTCTCCCAGGGCCGGGCTCTCAGCTTGCAGTCTGACGAGCTGGTTCGTAGTGACCGTTAGTAAGCGCTAAGGTCCCTCCCCAGACTCCAGCCTCGTAACAGCAGGGGACTTACGCTCCAGAGGAATTGCTGTCTCCATCGCAGGGGCAGAGACTGGGAGGGCCAGGAATACACGGGATAAGCCACAGAGGAGGAGGAGGAGGTTGCAGCCCTACGGATCAGGCTCTCAGATCTGTCTTTAGATCAGGGAGTTGGGCACATTTCTTTGCTTTAGTTTCCTCCAGGGTGCAGTGGGACAACGCTCACTTCCTCAGGGGCTCCTTGTACCGACTGGAGCGCAGAGTGCGAAGTGGCCTGGTACACAGGACTCGCTACAAATATTAAAAATGAGCTCCAAGAAGCAGCAGGAATGGGGTCTGTCTTGTTCACCGGTCTCGAGGACCCAGCCCGAGCCTTGTTGAAGATGGTCATAAATCGATGTGGAGTGCGTGGAGCCATGCCTAAGTGAACGGGTCCTTCTGCATTTCCGTCTGTGCGTCGAGCGGTGCGGTCCTAGGGTGACCGTGGCCGCTTTCTTGCCTGACTGGGAGCTCTGCCGGCTCCTAGAGAGAGACCCCCACAAGTGGCGAGAAGGTAGCCCCTGCTTGTGGCTTAAATCCTGCCATGGCCCGGGCCTTTCTGTGGTCAGAAATAGGGCAGCCATACTGGGGTTTTGAGGTTGGTAAAAAAAAAAAAAAACAAATGCGGCAAGGATTGAACAATAACAATCTTTGCATCTCAAAAGAGACCAGAAAGCTGAGAGGAGAGGTTAGGGTGGGGCGTGTGGGAATCCAGTCCTGCAGATCAACAGACCTGAATGAAAACCCTCCATTCCAGAGACACCAGTTTATTGATTCTAGGGTTTAGTCCCTGACTTCCCTTGCCTGGAGTCAAAGCTGGAAAGGAGAGCACTTCTTAGGGAGGGAAGAAAGGCCATGGGCAGATGCATGTTTGTTCCGTCTTCTCCTGGACTTGCCCTTTTGAAACTCTTGGCTAAGGGTCTGCCATCTTGGAGTCTTGTGTCCGAGAAGCCATGGGACCGGTTTTCGATGCTTGAAGCCGATGGTAGTACCATTCCTCAGTTTTTCTCTTCCTGAACTCCTGAACTAGCAATCCCTTCCCCTCCACATGCCCCCAGCAGGGCCACCGCAGGCTGTGGAGTTCATCACCAGAACTCATCACCCCGCTCACCTTTGCCTCTTCAGAGGGATTGGGTTCCTCCTCATCACTGAACGCGCCCCTTGCAGCCACCTACCCATCAAAGGTGTGTAGTCACAGAAACTGATGGGAAGTCACAGAAAAGAGAGCACTCAAGACACCATTTTAAAAGAATTGTGGCAGTGATAGGTTCACTCGAGAACTGACGGAGGGTAGACTTCGTGGCAGCCGACAGAGGCATGTTTGTGGATGGGGTGTCTTTAGTTGTTCACATTCCTGCCTCAGTGTGCACAGAAAATAGACCTTCTTTTCCAGGATAGATACGATCTCTTCCCTACCTGTTTAGGTAATGGAGAGGGACAAACCTAAACTTACCAATTTGTGATACCTCAGTGTCTTCTGCCGTCTGGATGATTTGGAGTTCATGCTTCCTCTCCCTCCCCTGCTCTTCTCCCACATGGCATCTGGGGGCTTTGAGACCTGATGTTGGCTGGGAGAGGAGGGTCTGGGACTCTCACTGGGTTCTGCTAAAGAGCGGCTGGTCTGGCCTGGTCTGGCTTCTGAAGGGTCAGCAGAGAAAGGTCATTGGTCCCAGTTGGCCTTTTGGAATGCCATCCTGGCTTACAGTTCTGCCCCCCTCCAGGGGCCTATTTGTCTATCCCAGGCCTCAGACAATCCACCAGGCCCGGGGGCATGTGAGGCATCCAGGGATGTTGCTTCCAGTTCACCTGTCTGTCCCTTTCCCCCAAGGCAGCCCTGCAGCCCCGTGGGATGCTACACCTGCCAAAACCAGGATTTCTCCGAGAGGCTTGTGACCTGCCTAGGCTGTGCTGGGACACAAGCCTTCGGCCTCCTCTTCACACCCATCCTGATGTTTCTACCCCTCCCCCTCCCCTTCTGGCTCAGGCGGTGGAGCAGGTGGGGGATGCAGGGGTGAGGACCTCCTCTTTCTCCCTCCATCACCTTTCTTTTTTCAGCTTCTGCTGGGGCAGAGGGATGCGCTGTCAACTTCCTCTTCCTTTCACCACAGACATTGACGTATTTTCTCCTTACTGTTTGCATCAGCCTCCCAGTGCGGCCTCCATGGCCAGAGGGCTATTTTCTCTAAACCGGAAGACACCTACCGATGTAGGACGCAAGGCCTGGTTCCTGATCTGTCCCTGGAGCCGAAGCAATTCAGAGTTCTCATTCAGTCTCTCCACAAAGCCTGACTTGCAATCCTATCGATTCGTGTTTCCGAAGACTCCTGTTTTTCTCTGGCAAACCCGGACCTATCCTGACCCCTCTGAGGAAATAGCAGGAGGGGCCACGCCCAAGACAAAGCCCAACACGAAAAATCTGGAGCGTTGTCCTTGTCTGGACGTAGGCGGACTGCTGTGGACCAGGCTTCTCAGCGGACGGGCGTCTCGGTGCCCTGTGGCTCTCCCCTTTGCTCCCTTCCCATGCCCCGGTCACTCTGTTCCCTCTTTGGTCCCTGGACAAGGCAAGCCTTTCCTGTGTTGGGCTCTTTCCAGCCGGCTCCTCCCCGGGGCTCTTCCTCCTCTAGCTGCTTGCTGGACCTGTGTCTTCGCAGCTGCTCCTGTGTTCAGCACATTTTCACTGACCCACTACCAACCATCGGGCACCGCGCTAGGTGCTGGGAATTCAATGGGGAGCAAAAGGAGCTTGTGATTTAGAGAGGGGGAGACCCGTTCATCCTATGGGGGGTGTCATCCTTCAACTGTGATTAGTGCCGTGAGAACTTGTAATAGGGGGCGGGGCGGATGCTTTCCTGAGGAAGTAGAGATGAAGGTGAGATCTGAAGGAGGAGGAGGCGTGGACTGGGCCGAGAGGAGAAGAAAGAGCTGGTTCAAAGGTCCTGCGGTAGGAGTGGGGAATGTGCCTGGCCAGGGTAAAGGTAGCTGGGCTGCAAGCAGAGCAGAGAGTGACCTCATCCTAAGGCAAGGCTGAGTGGCACCCAGGGCTAAGTCTGATCTGCAATCTCATTACCTCAGGTCTATCCACTTGTCTCCCTCTCCAGCAAAACACCACCAACCTGCATGGACTCAGTTTGAGGGATGTTCTCAGACTTCATGGGTCCCTTCGAGCAGCACTTGGCCGCCTCCTTCCTGTGGTTTGCAAATGCAGGACTCCTCCGGTTTACTTCCTTGTGGCCTGATAGACCCGTTCTGTCTCTTCTGTAAGATTGCCCTACTTTCCCCGTCACCAGCTACTGAGTCCCAGAGCATCCCCGGACCCGTCTTCCAGGCCTCTTGCTCTCCCTCTGGGGAACCAGGCAGTTCTCTCCATGCCCTGGTTCCAGCCCTTGTGTGAGCACAGATGCCCCCAGTGTCCATTGCCCAGAACTCTCTTCTAGACCCCAGCTGTGTACTTAGCGGTTCCACCCAGAGGCCGCAGAGGCTCCTCCCACTCAGTGTGTGTCCGTGACAACACTCTTTCCCTCCGAACCCTGTCCTCCTCCAGAACCCCCAGTCTCAACGAGGAGCCCACCAGCTACAGAAGCCAGAGATCTGGAAGTCTTCTCTATCACCCTGTATCCCATCAGTCACCACATTCTGGAGGTTTTCCCTCCTGATATCTCTCAGGGTCACCTGCCCTTCTCCCTTCTCCGCCGCCACCCACGCGGTCCACGTCACCATCCAGTTTTGCTGTGATGACTGTGACAGCTTTTTAACTGGGACCCCACCCCCACCTCCCTCCCTTCCGATGTAGCGTCCGCTGTGCTGCTGGATTGAGCTTCTAGAAACACACCCTGGGTCGTATCACATCACATCACATCACATAGACCCCCCCCAGTCTTCAAATCCTTCTATGGCTTCTCATTCCTCTTAGGAGAAGGAAGTCTTCAGGAAGGCACGCAAGGCCTTGCCTGGTCTTGGGCCTCCTCTCACACTGCTCTCTCTTTCCTGCCTCCATCGACACTTCAGTGGCATTTGGGGGGCACATTGGCCCCCTTACTTGGACTTGGGGAGCCCCGTAACACATTTACACCCCTCTCTTAGGGCAAGAGTATTCTGCAGATGGCTACTGTCCTCCGCCTTATGTTGATCCTTATTAGCTTCAGGGGAAAAGGGGGGTCTTATCTATTAACCCTCGGAATGCCCTTGCCTTGGAGCCCAGCCCCCGCCCTGTATACAGACTATCACAAGCTGCGTGGTGCCGGTTAAGGGACACGTTTTTTGCAAAGAATGGACTATTTTTAAAATGCAGATTTTCCTGATTCCCTTTGATTATGAGACTGTGATTCAGGATATTCCCAGGGGAAATCACCCTTCAGGAACCCTTCCTGTGACTCTACAGATTTCTCTGTTTTCCCGTCGTAGCCATGGAAATAAAGAAGCCTTCTCGTGCCGGGGAATCCAGCTGGCTGTGGACTGGTTCAGGGACAGAGGACACACCTACATCAAAGTTTTTGTCCCCTCCTGGAGGAAAGACCCACCAAGATCCGACACCCCTATTAGAGGTAGGCTGGAGCGGAGGTATGCTCAGGAAGTTCTATACACCTTTTCTTGGTAGTGCTCCTGACAATTATAGTCAGTTATCTCCTTAGCTATTTGTGTGATAATGTCTGTCTTTCTCACTGGACTATAAGCTCCTTGAAAGCACTGATTATAGGTATTCACTGCCATCGCACCAGGACCCAGCATGTCTGGCGTATAGTAGGTGCTCAGTCCATAGTTGTTGAATAGATGAATAAAAAAATTATTCTGTGTTTAAGTGTGAATGATTAAGTCCCCAAAATTATTGTGTGCAGAGAGAGAGGGAGAAGCAATTCCCTGCTGAGCGGGGAGCCCGACGCGGGGCTCGATCCCAGGACCCTGGGATCATGACCTGAGCCGAAGGCAGACGCTTAGCCGACTGAGCCACCCAGGCGCCCCTGACGATTTCTTTAAACTTTAAACTTTAAAAAGTTCTCTTAAGTTCCGTGAATCCTATTTAATTTTTCTGGGGCCAGTTCTCTTCGTTCACCGCTGTATGTGTGTGTGTGCTGTTACATCTTCTCAAGAGTCTAGTGATTGTTTGGCGGCCAGCTTTTATTTGCAAATAAAGAGCCAGGTTGGTTAGATGCATATCTGTGTGATTTCCTTGTGTTTTCTCTCCTGGCATGTGGATCTTTCCCGGAGCGGCAGGGCTGACCAGCAGATTTCACTTGGGCAGACCCTGTCTGCAGCGGGCACGTGGCTGGGCAGCTCAGCCCATGCTCACCGCAAAGCCACAACGATGATGGTTTTACTCTAGGAGGTCAAAGGCCACATGGGAACCTCCCCCTTCCTAGGGATACCTCATTTTCCTGATAGTGGTAAGGGTAGGAAAAGGATGGATGCACCTGCACCACGAGTAGCCATGACCCTGACTCTGCCCTCGTCCCACTCCCTCCACTTCAGCCTTCTTTTTAAGAGTTACCTTTTATTAGTATTATTTTTTTTTTTAAGATTTTATATATTTATTTGAGAGAGAAAGACAAAGATAGCGACAGAGACAGCGAGAGAGGGAACACAAGCAGGGGGAGTGGGAGAGG